TATATATATATATATATAAATATATATATATAGTTAAAAACAAAAGGAATCATAGCAGTAGGCGTTTGAAATATTACAAGTATAACAATAAGTTTATTTAAATAATTTGACATCATCATTTTGTATAAATACCTAAACATAACACGTATTGTATATACTTAATGCGTTTCCTGATCAGCTGTTATTTGCACGGTACCAAAACTATTAACACATACCTACAATCGGATAGGTAGTGTAGTTTAAAAAATTAACACGCTTAGATAAAATGCTGTGTGTTGAAATAAAACAAACCTTCCGAAAAGTGCATTTTACTCGTGCGTGTTGTTTTTTAATTTAATAAAGAATAATAATATTTAGCTAACGAATGCCGTAAGTCTGTGCGGGTATTTACTTATAATATCAAATAAATAAACTGAACATTTTTTTTCTGTTTCTATCGGAGGTGTAAATTCTTATGTAAATTATTCAACATTTCCCTAAGTATAGAATTTTTTTTTTTTTTGCTCCATCTTCGGTACCTATGTAGTATATGGTTGTTACAAGTATCCTATAGTGAATATTTTATGCAAATTCACTTAAGTCTTTCTATTTTAATATTTACACGATTGAGGGTAAATAATTTGGACGTATATTTTATTATTATATGGGGTGAACTGTTTTCACGCTTTTGTTTTAATGATCAATTCCACATAATTCGAATAGCCGTAACTTAATGTACTTACTTCGCGAAACACAGTAAGAAAACATACTGTTTACCGTGTTCCAATTAAATATAATAGTAAATAAACAACAATAATCAAGAAAGATTTTTTTTCTATTTTTGTGTAAAATTGTAGGTACCGACGATTATTGTGATGGTTTACAAAATAATTTTGAAGTTTCTGAATATATTCGATCCGGGGATTCCAACGGGAGAAAATGAAAATATTACTCATAAGTTTATATTTTAAATATATAGGTGATTCGCGACCAAGGTGAATAATTATAATATTAATCGAAAATAACAAATTCTCGCAAATCATTTTTTTTTTTTCTTTAACGCCTGTTGCTTAATAAAACGATTCCGTAAAATTCAATAGGTATTTAATTGTGAATATTATTCGATAAAGAATAATTAAACATAATTTGTTTTACAAAATGTGATTTTTTTTTGTTTTTTTTTCCATAATTCTTTTAGAGATCGAACCCAGTGGTAGGTTTTAAAACGTCGATAAGATTCGCGTTCTAACTACACGATGACAATTTACGATTGTTAACGAATTAATCATTCATTATAGTCCTAAATATTATTATTAGTATTGTTTCATCATCATCGTAAAAAAACATTTTTTCGATTATTTTGTAGAATATTTTTTTAATACTGCGTGTCAATACATCATAAAAATATTAACAATAACGATTTATGTGACGTATTTTTTTTTTATAACAAAATAAAAAACGCAGTAGTCGTAAATTATTGTTCTAAGACTTATATTTCAAAATATTTATTCATTTTCTCATACCAATTTTTTTATTGTCTAGAGTTATTTTTCAGAAAATTGATCAATAATATTTTTTTGTCTACCTAGTCCACCTACGGAATAATAATATAGATAATTTATGCTTGTATATGCTTCACAGGCCCTCGCCCAAGTGTAACACAATATTCTATTTATTCTTAAAAATATAATTTACTCGGCGGTGAACAGTGTTATTAGTAGGTACTTACTACCCATTACCAATCCGCAAAAATCGAGGTCATCAAATTAGTATAACTGGACTAAAATGGTATTATAGGCGAACGACCCACACGTTCCGATATAGGCGATACGACTCTTAACTGGACATGGAAATACCGCGAGAACAGGATATGGGTATTACCTTTAAGAACGAACGGAGTCGGCAAATTATTGCCAACTAATGTCTCGAAAAATTGGCACAAATATCGAATATTTACAAAATCCGTGTGGGCATTCACAGACGTAATATTACGCAAATTGTTTGGAGGTAAACGGATATTTCATTGTAATTACTGTTATTCATTTACTCGTGCGTTTTGATAATTATATAACAAATAAATAGCTGTTTTTTTTTTTTCAAATTAATTTCTAGTCGTAATCACGTTTTTTTTTATCAACGATAGGTTAGTATAGTTTTCCACGATTCTATCGAAATGCCGCTATGCTGGTGCCACTATTTTTTTAAACGCAAGCGAAGCATGTCGGTCGGCCCGCATACGAATATCATTTATGAAAGTATTATCAGTACGGTATCGGTTGAAAACAGTCGGTATTCGTGGCGTGTCAAGTACAGGCATGGTACGTGACGGGTAAAAGAAGTTAAAATCTAGTTAAAAAAAATAAAGTTCTGCAGGTCAGTTTTATTAAGTATATCGAACACGTGTATTTAAATACGTAATAAATACTTTTGTTCGTGTTATCTTTATATTTTTACAATATTACAGTATTTTACTATTTAAAATTTGAATATTTTTTAATGGTTCAAATAGAATTTGCAATAAAATTTTTTTTCGAAATGTATTGTTATAAAATTTAATAACTATCGTTATAATGATTTAATTTATCTACTTAAGGTCAACCCAATTAACTAATTTACTATAATATGCAATTAAACAATATGCTATAATGTGGAACATCTGAAATTCTTGAACCTATTTAAATTAGGTATTCATAAATATAAATAAATATTCATTTGTAAAAATCATTCAAGGCATATAAAATGTGTTGAAAAAAAGCTATATCAGTAAAATATTTTTAATATTTTTAAAAGAAAGTATTCGAATATAATTTATAAGTAATATAATACTTATCTTGCATACATACCTATGAACGTATTTCTAATACGACTGAGGTAGATTTTTTTTTTACGACGTTTAAACATTTTAAAACTTTTTTTCACGATATCGCAATAAATGATCGTATAATAAATTGTTTTTACTTAATTATTTTAATTTCAACCTTATTTACACTATAAGAAATTTATCTTTGCGTCGATTAACGGGAATTTTCATACATGACAACTGGTGTTTTAACTTAAGATTATTTACAACATATTTAATTAAATACAGCGTGCATAATTTTTTAAGCATTTATTGCCCATACAATTATTCCAAAATCAAAAAATTGTATATAATACGGTAAAACAAACGTGTAAAGTACTATGCATGGTGTACATTTAGAACGATATTTTTTTTCATTTTCAAAATCATACAATCATTTTAGTTTTCACAATTAAAATTATCGTATACTTAATAAAACTGACTGAAACAATTATTTTCCATGGAGTTTATGCAAATAGTGTCAGTGATAGTTAATATAACGACTTGGTTGCACTTTAAAATTATTTTCAGTGGGACACAAAAAAAGTATACTCAATTAATATGTTCTACTACTATGGCATAAATATATTATTTTATTATAAAAGTTGTATTCCACCTACTTATGAAATTTGATTACGAACGATAAAATATGCAGATGATTAAGGTTACAAAATAGACTATGTATACAAGGCGTCTGAGATCCGAAAAAGCAATAACTTTTGCTCTGGTTTTATTGCCACTAATAAATAATATTACCTTTGCCCTAATACCTATTTACCACTTTTCCTGTGAAAAACTACGATAATGTTTATTATTACAATATGATAGTTATTATTTATTAATTGAATTTTACTTATTATTAATAAGTAGTGGTGATGACAGAAAATTTGGAAGTTTTGGAAAACTTCGAAAAATTGTGGAAAATCAACAATTCATCATAAGTAAATTAATGTTTTTTTAATAAATATCAAATATAAGAATTATAGCGCAAGTAATTATTATAAACAACCCAAAACTTAAAAAAATATTACTATATAACAAAAGTTATAACATTTGTCAAATCTCCGTGAGACACTCTGTTTAATATGATTAAAAAAAGGAATTGTTATAATGTTAATGACTATAAAAATAAATACAAAACTGACGCCCATTTTTTATTTTTTGTTATCCTCATTAATAATATTACTTTTCAGACAATATTCTATATTGTAGAATGTTATGAAATATTAGGTACAGCGTATTAATAATGTTTAGGTAAAACTGGAAACCGTTGAAAACGAAACATACTAATTTGGTCAACAGTAAAATAATATTTCAATAAGTAATAAGTGTATTTTTCTTAGTACATTTAGGTGTGTAAAATATTTAAATTTCCATTAATTATTGTTTTACTTCGTAGATAATATGTGAATAATACAATTATAATTTTGTAATTTTTAAATTTAAATAGTCCTGGAGCACGAGGAAAATACTATGACGTTTTCTGTACCTGCATGATATCTTCGTGGAAGTGTGCAATTTTAAGGTAAATTTTATTGAAAAGGAAACGAGAAATCAATTTAAATTTATCAAATGCCTAGTAAATCAATCGTCGTAAATTATTGTATATTGTTTGCTCGAAACTGATTATAATTTGTAGAACACATTAATATACGACAAGGAATATGGTAATTTGTTCTACAGTCAAGCTAAGAAATAGGTCATTTTGCAAACGATCATTTTGAAGACGGTATTATATTATAGCGTTCAACCAGAATATAGTAAACTATATGTTGGTGAAAAAAATGAAAAAAAAGTTTTTCGGTTATATCGAAAATATAATATTTAGAGCCGCGCGGTGAGTGTGTGTGTGTGTGAAACTATATAATGTTAAAATCTATACCTAATAACAACAATTACAATAATAATTATTATCACTGTTATACTATTGTATTATAGATGTAATAATATCCTTAATAACAATAATAGTTATTATAATATAATAAAACGTGAAACGATTACCTTGCAAATCGTTTTGAGAAAAAACCAACGTGACGAACACCGCGGTCGACAGGAGCCAAAGTAGCGCGCCCATCATCACGACATCCGGCTGCTCCGACGGAATTCTGCACAATGAATATTGTCGTATAGATCACACGGGGTAGATACCTCTCTACCTATGATATTGTATGCCTGGTGCCCACAAGTCGATACCGAACAGTGTATACGTAACGTGTCCTAGGAGTTCTCAACATGCATCCTCACACCATCGTACCGACGATGTATACACGAACCGATAGGCTTATTTTGCTATTATTAGAGCTGTCGGCGATTTTTTTTTTTTCAAAGTGGGTATAGTTGTATGAAAATCTACTGTACTATTATTGTTATTATCATAATCCGTCTATGGTCGAAACAGAAAAAAAACGTAGATAATATAACGCCATTGTCGTTTGTTTCAATCGCGGATTTCATAATACACACATACATCAACATACACAGGTAATAACATATAAATATAATTTGCTGATATTTTTTTTTTTTTATTTAATCTATCGAATTTCATATTATATTGTCACCAAATAGTTTAAAAACTATATATTCGTTTGCACGGAAATACGAGCGTTAAAATTTCGGAAATTTCAGCGTCGCGTCCCCGCTGTTATTGGCATAGTTTCAAGTTTTCCGATATTTCATATTTTTTGTATAGCAGACGTAACTATTATACCCGTTTTTACAAATTTTAAATTTCTTTTTGTAATGAATTTTGTTTGGAGGAGTTCAGTGACTTTAAATCTATACATAAATTTACGTATATTATGTGTAAAGATAAAAAAACGCAACGGTGGGGATTAGACTCCCAAATTCCCCCCGTGTATACGTTTTTAAAACTTTTATTAGAACAATCTTATAATACTACAAGTATAAGATGTAAGTAGGTAACTTTTGATTTAAAATTGATATTTTTGACAAGTCAGAAGTAAAATCTAATAATATATTAAAATAAAAACTTATGACGAAGATAATATTAACGTTTCTATATGATAGCATTTAAAACGAAATTTTCTTAATATTGTTAGTGTAATTTTTATAAACATTATTTAAATATGTATTTTACTACATGATTTGTTTATAGACTAAAACTGTATTATTTCTAGATGCAACTAATGTTATGATTAACAAAATATTAAAAGTTAAGTTAGTTAATATAAAAAAAAAAATCAATTAAACTGAATTGTATGTGTTTTTTAAATTAAAAGAAAAAATATCCAACTTAATGAAATTAAACCCTTAAATCAAATTAAAAAATTGAGCCAATCGCAAATGTTGGGATAAAAGTGAAGGAGAGAGGAAGAAGGAGTGAAATCAGAATTTGTTGATCAAAAATAATAAAAAAGTTAAAAGTTAAGTTAGTTATTTTATTTTGAAAATCGATAACGTAAAAATTTGTCTGTTCAAAACTGAAAAACTAAACACATACACATCAATATTATATAATCGTATTTTCATGTTTGAAAATTTAAGTGTAGATTTTAAAGAAAATGATAAACCAACTGAATAACCAGTTACTTTTATCTTTTTATCTTTTTAGACTCGTATACTCGTATTTTATGTATCCCTATAACAACGCGTTAAGTTAAAAAGTTATTCAGAATTTAAACTAACTGATTGAGTTTAGAGTTAGGTATACACTAACAAAGGAAACTTTTCAACTTAATTTTGACTTTCTAGTTAGTTAGTGCCTAGTTTCAATAATTATTAACATTAGAATTTCGGATCAATATGAAACGGATATGCGTGTATTTGCGCGAAAACCATACGCGAACGGAAACGGATGTAAAAAACAGCAATTCGATTTTCAAACAAAACATAGGTAATAATATAACGTATCAAGTAGTTTAATAAATAAACAATCATTACGGAGAGAGTAGATACTATTATCCACCCGCACAAAGGATTTGATTACTATAGTAAAACAGAAAGTTTAATGATATTTATCGATTTAGAAACACTAACGCACTGCCATACACCGTACACAATAATATAATACATGCATCAAAGAAAACGACGTCTTTGTTTCGAAATATGGGTCGTCATCGAGTATTTTAATATTTATCGGTACATACCTACTTACATTTTCAACGAGCCACTGATGCAGATAAACATGACTTTTTGCGATAAAGAAAAAAAGGGGGTGGGGAAATAGTACAAATTGGCCAACAAATTAGTTTGTTCGAAAATGTTTGTATAATATCAAATAAAAAGAAAAAAATATCCTACAGTTGTTCGAATATCTATACATTATATTATATAATATTATTTTTAACAAACGTCATCGTTATTATTATGAAAAGGTCGATGTATGTATATTATGTATACGTATTATACGTACTTTGTGCTAAACATAATTGGTATTAGACACCTGCAGCTGAATCGGCATGGGTACAATCGAATATTTTAGCGATAATTCCGCGACTCGGAACAAGGTTATTGGTTAGGTATTTGGGTATAATACAAACGCGCTTTTTGGTTGGCGTTATTTCAAAAACAAAATATTATGTGACCAAGGTTTCACCGAAGCCTTTAGCGATACGACCCACTATTGTTGGGAAATTAGTAACGCATATACCTATTTTTTTTTCTCGTCCACCTAGGAGGTCAATAATTAATACAATATTATTAATGACGCGGACAAAAGATATGTGGGTCAAACAATCGTTATACGATTCGCAGCGTCACACGGAAACAGAGTAAATGACAAAAATAAATATTATTTTATTGTTGCGTAAGTAGTTAAAGTACAGAAATATTTCATTTGACGCGCAATAATTATTGCACACGCAAGCACACATGCGATATATTAAATCATAATTGAAAAATTATATAGATAGTAGATAAAATAAGGTTTTTTTCATTTCATTTCGTTGTCTTAATAAACAAAATGTAAAATATTTTTAAAAATTAAACGAATCGGGAATCGGCTGCTGTTGCAGTTGCTGCTATTGCAGTTGCTGCTGTTGCAGTTGCTGCTGTTGCTGTTGCTGCTGCTGCCCTTGCTGGAATTGTACGTTATTGTTTTGAACCTGAGACGAACCCGAGAGTTCGAACACGGACCTTTGGCACGTATCGTATTTGTTTTTGTAGTTCGGGTCTAGGTATCCGCTGCATCCGTAACCGCCATTCTTGTGAATGGCCGCATAATCCGCGCAGTCAATAACACCGTCACGATTACAATCCTACACATAGTATTATAATAATATTATAAAATGCACTATAATGACCAGAACAAAAAAAAAAATGTCCGAGGATTCACGTGAAAAACACACTTCGAATAAAATGTCGTCCCGTCGGTCGGAAAACCCTCTTCTTTTAACGTGTACGTAATAGTGTTTATATCAATTTTTCCCGAGAGTACACAATGACATCCTATGCCATACATGGAGTATTTTTTATAGCTCTTTTATAATTTATACTTAAACTGTTTATAGGAAAATAGAAATCGATTATACACAAAATTAAATTAAAACGAGGTGCCAAGAAAAAAATATTCAACATTTGAAAAAAAAAATATTGTAAATCGTAAGAAAATATTACGAATATTTTTTGACGAAATGACTGAAATAAACAAAATTGTCATTTATACATGTACGGTTTTAGCGGCGTAAGTGCTACGAACTGCAAGTAATGATAGTTGTATAATATTATTAAGACGAATTTTTTTTTCCAAAAACTATTTCAAAGTATATACGGTGCGTATAACCGTGATTGTTCAACAAAATATTAGGAGCACACACGGCGTATAATGCGGTATACTCTTTACACGGGAACATCGCTGCGTATAATAAATACTGCTGCGATGTGAAATTTTCGTAGAGAATTTTTATCCACCCACGATCCACAGACATTGGTAAAAAAAAAAAAAAACGAAAACGCTGCAGATTTATACAACCTGCGATATAGGTTCTACGCTTCGGTCGGAATTTGATGTGAGGAAAAAAAAATTTAAATACCCCGACCGACAAAGACTTTGCGATATCGATAAGGTATTATTATCCCTGAAAGCCATAAAAGTATATAATAATCGGCTTACCTGAGCGAATCTGGTCAAGTAATTTACGACCGATTGTCTGGCGCACGTTGGATCGTTCGCACACCTCGGATACGCTGCAAAAACACACAATGTATTTTAGATTATTGGTTTAATTATATACGTATATTATATTATACATAGGTACGTGCACGTGTTGTTATGGCTCACGAACAATTTACTAAATGAAACAATCGCCTCGGTTTTCGTCCGAACAATCGACCGAAAGACGTAGGTACATAGCCGTATAGGTACTATTGATAAATAACATCGATAATATTTCATGTTCCTGCAGATCGCGTGTATATTAAAATTGCGATCCTATCAGCGGCGGATCCAGAGGAGGAGGGAGAGAAAATAGGGTTATATGCCCCCTTTCACCCTTTAAACGCTGTAATATAATATAGTATGCGTTTTTCTTGTACTGCGGTAGAATATTCATCAATTTACATTGTTGCACGTAAATGGTTTTCAATTAAAAAGGTCAAGTATTGGTCCAAAATAAAAAAAAAAAATTAGTTGAGGTGGTCTGTATATCCACCACTGGATACTGCAATAACGTATTATAATAATATTCTATTATCACGGTATATTTCACGCCGGGTGACATATTTTAGACCCCATCGGAGTATTCCGAGTTCGGTCCGAGCCGAAACGTAACCTAGTTAATTTGTTTTATTGGTTTTTTGGAATTTTAAAAAACACACTCTACTTGTTGGTCGTAAACTTGATACTGATCCGAAGAAATTAATTCCCTTAATGCGAACCTTAAACCTACTACTCTAAGGTCCTCCTCGATAAAAACCCGACATGGGTTTATAAGATAAAGTACAGGAGAAACGGAAAACTTAACTTACCTTTTGTTCAAAACAACTCAAACCCGCTGATACGCCAAGAAAGTTATTGTCCTGAGTGTGAGCCTAAAACCTATAGTGTCAATGAAAAACCACGACGGGTCACGTATTTAAATACATCGCTTGAGCTGAATTCGGATAGGATCTGTAAATACGACGCCTGGCGACGGAACGAGGGAACGGGAAAACGAAAACATTAAACAACTTTGCGGTTAATACCTATACAGTCGCGGTGTACGCCTAATGTACACGATTACGTTTTCAGCATCACGACACTCGAAAAATTTGTTCGGGTTTTTGTTCGTTTAATGGTCCAGCGTGTATTATAATACGGTTTCGGGGTTTTGTATAGTTATACTATTTTTAGGATGTTATGCAAGACAAAAAAAAAAAAAGAAAAAAAAATCTGAAAAAAAAAATACAGCTGAATCATAGGTACCTTATAGCAGCATACTGTTTAGAAAAATATCGTACGTTTAACTTCACACGTGATGGTGACTTTAAACGTTTAAAATATAGGTATTTTTTTAAATTTTTTATGAAATAATTTACGTATATAATATAATAGGTAGGTGCATAAAGACGTAGTATTTTCACACTAAACGTAATAATATTTTTAATACACAATATTATAGACGTTACAAGAAACCGTATACGAGTATGAAATGCCATTGTACACTATACACGCACGTTGTTATAATCTATAGAAAAATCACTGTAATCTCGACATTTTTTTCCCCGACTAGTTCGGGAAAACCTTTTTAATTTCCATTGTGCTTTTGTTTGCAGAGAAACGAATGTATGTAAATGTGTTCGCGCGTTTAACAATATTATGAATGAAATATTTCACCGGCATTGCGATGGGGCTGCAGCATTAAGGCAACGGGAAGTTACAGGGAGTCGAAGGACTCGCGTTTTAACGTAGAAGCACGGAATGAATGGTGCTGCCAACCAACCGAAAGATTACAAATCCGAAGAACGTGAACACGAACTTAACACGACTATTTATCGTAAGTCGATTTGACGAAATGTTACAAGAAAAAAACTGTGACGTGCATTGCATTATGTTCACGTTGTTATTTTCGTTTATTATTTTATCCGTGTGATATACATGTTCATAGAAAACAACAATGTTTCGATCATTTTTTTGTTTAACAAAACTTCGATTTATCATTATACGATACAGTTTTTGATTTCGATTAAATTCGAGTTCTCCCGTCTCGGTTTGATATTTGTTTTAATTTGTCGCGTGTATTCACGAGTATACCTGTACGCGTGTTATAATAACGATAAAAAAAATACTTTAAACACTACCGTTTTGACGCCCCGCGCTCGATTAATTACGACGAGCGCGGTTTTTTCCCTTATTAAACGGCTATAATGTAAATCATTTATTGTTATTATTATTTTTTTTTTTTTTCACCACACGGATCTGTTTCCCACACGCTCGGAGTCATTCGAATACTCCGGAAAGTTGCGGTATATACGGGAAAACAAGGATATAAATGGTTTTTGTTTTACACAATCGTATAATATACACCTGTTATATACGCGTATGGTCTCGCGAGCTATTGTGTGTGTGTGTGTGTGTGTGTTTTTTTTTGTTCACATTTTAATTTGGTTTTTTACGAGCGTACACGTGCCGCGCGATACCGTACGGATTGTTGACGATGAAATTTTTAAACCCGCGCGAAAAATCGTAAAAAAAAAAAAAAAAACGAGAATTCCCACGTCGACGGACGTAGGCGCAGGTACCTGTACGCATAATATAACATATATACATAAATATATAGAACGGCTAATCTATTTACGGACCGTTCGCCCATGCCGCAGCGCGCACGCGGAGAGCACGACGTTATAACGCGCGCATTCGTCCGGATAAATTATGAACGATCCGCCCGCGCGTATGTAATTCGAAATTGTTTTTCGCCCGATCGGGATTTTCCCCGTTCGTGATCGTAAATTTTATTTTATTTTTTTTTTTTTTTCGTTTAATTTTTCTTCTGCTAAAATATCGCGGTCCAATTACACCCATACTACGCGGTCGCGCCGTCTCGAAACATCACGGACGGCGCCAAATGCGCGCACAAAATATTATTATAACACCGTTTCCTGCATTGCAATAGCCGTGATTGTTGCTACAGTGCGCACCTACATAATAATAACGATAATAATAATATACACCGACGGGTAATTATTATTGGACGTCGTTTTACCTTGGCCGTCGTTCGGATTATCTCCTTGCAAAACCGGTTTGCCCGAATCGGCCCAATACGCCCACGTTATGCCGAACATTCCGCACACGTCACCCTCGCAACGCAGATTCCGGTCGCACGTCGATATGGATTCGCAAATGCATCCCAGACAAACCTCGGTTACCGGTTCGAACCGCTGGTTCTGTACTCCTTGGGGTACTGAAATTTCGAAAAAAAAAAAAATAAAAATAAATTTAAAATTTCAATATTATCGTGCATACTATGGAAATAAATCAAATGCACCAGCATAAACGAGATTATTATTATTATGATTATTGCAACATTGATTTTAGTTGCGTCGTTGAGAGTCGGAAAGTTGGTAGTTTTCGAAGGGACTACAAGGTTTTTAACGTGACCGTCCCGAAATATAATAAAGAGCGTTGATAATGGCTGATGTGGACCACCGTTTTGTATGGGCGGAAAGGCGACGAAAAATGTTTTTGACTTTTAATCGGGAAATCAAATGTACTGTTGTTTACGATTGTTACGCTCAACTTTTAGATTCTCAGGGCGGCGAGGAACGTGTTGGTTTTACTACGCTGTATTTTTTTAAACATTTTTTCTCTGTCTAACAACTGCTTTTCTGCCAGAAATAAATACTCCGAATTTAAAGCGTAGAAACTTTTCTGAAAAAAGTATTTTTGTCCAGTGATAATGCGTTTGGCGGTTGGTTTAAGATTTTCGAAAGTACAACGTAGGTTCCCAAAAGGTCTATTCTGACCCGCGAGGGGTTCATGTTATCGAAAACCGAATTCGGGGGCGCATGAGATGTAAACAGGCGTATGAGCGGGAGTTATTAAGTAAGAAACGTGCACATCGTCATTTTTTACGATTTATACGCGTGGGAAAAAAAGTTTGGGATCCTCTGGCGTACAAGAACAACGTACGATAAACGTTGAGTCGCATCGTTGAGCATTAATTTGTACCAAAAGAATCTCGTGTTCAGGCAAACCGAAACTAAAACCGAAAATCGTGTCGAATAACACAAATAATATACAAATATCGTGCAATTGCCGAGACATAGGTATCGTCCCGCAGTAGTGGGGTAGCAATGTGAAAAACTGATCTCCCACTGCTGTCGGTTAACCAGGAAAAAAAAGGCATCGCAGAGTCAACGAACTCGAGTAATGTCGCGGTAAACTATTATATAGGCATAATAAAAATATTATATTGTAGGCTTTACGAGTGAATGCAAACGGACAGACGGTGTCCGTAATGCGTGCGCGAGAAGACGACCCGATATAGGAACGTCGTTTTACGAGAACGATCGTGTCCTGTTATAATAATAATGTTTCGTAAGAAAAAAAAATATATTTAAAAACTAGAACCGGACATACTTCGTACGATGGACGGGCCACTGTTGTAGGTGAGAAGACGGGAAGGTAGGATATAGAAGGGAATTATTTATAATGTAAACGTGTACGTGACGGTTAATCTGAAAAAAAAAAAACGATTCTGAGCGGAATTTTACACGTTTTGAAAGGCCGCGATATTTACGATTTGATAAATTTCGCACATTTACCCGGGTTTTCCCTGTTTATCATACGAAATGAGGAAATCAAAAAAACGACCCAGTCGTTAGTACCTCGCCAGTCCGATTTCGTTTCAGAAAAAGCGCTATAAGAATAGTTGTCCGCGGAGAGAGAGAGAGAGAGAAAAAAAAACAAACATCATTGTAAAAACCGATACATTCCCGAAGGGGGGGCCGGGGGTTGGCGCGTTCAGAATCTAACACAGAACCGGCGATAAACGTGACGTCCGACGCGCGTTTATAAACACGGACGCGACGTTAAATTGCGCGTGTTGTTACTGTTGTTGTTATTATTATTATTATTATTATTATTATTATCTTCATTATCACAATATACTCACGTCCGGCAACGGACAGCGGCGACGCCGCGAGACAGACGGCCGCGGCGAAAATCCACCGGTTGAAAGCCATCGTTCGGAGTGTTCGCGTTGCGGGCCCGGGCGTTGTTCTTTTAGCGGGTCGAACTCGACCGGTGCGCACGCGGTAAATGACGGCGGCCCGGACGCCGGCGGATTATTTAAAACGATCGTCGCCCGTGCGGTACGAGACCATTAAACGCGCGCGGCGTTACTTACAGCCGTGATAATGTATTATACGCCCGTACCCGGCAGGTGTATAACCTCCGGATTTTATAACAAGTTTTGCGGCGCGCGGCAGCGGACGGCGGATTCCGGCGCCCGCGCGTGCCGTTACGCTCGTAGTCGCGTCGCGTCACGACACGCGTTATCAATTGAAAACGCGCGGCCGTCTTGCGGCCCGGTATACGTGTACAGGGCGGTCGGCCGGACGTCGAAACGCTCGTCACGCCGGATAAGCGTAAACGTTTTCGGAATTTCTCGCTTCGACTACTCGGCGAACAAATAGCCGGTTCTAAAATAATAAATTATCGGTTTTTTTTTTTCATTTTCCCCCCCGTCACCCTTATTCTTTCGAGGGCGAAACGCGACTACGCGCCTTCGATTCTCAAACGTCGGCCTACAATCAGAAACGCCTTGAGTAAACGGGGTGTCGGTGAAAATAAATTTCGAGGCGCGGCGCGGCTCCGCTACTCCAAAATCAAATGTAGGTAATCGTTTCAGACCCGAAAATGAGGGTCAAATCATTACGTAACATTTTAAAGCCATTTGTTTCACGTGTTTTCAAAAATAACAAAATCCCGAAAAAAGTCAATACTTTCCGAGATAATCAGCGTTTCCAGTCGAGTTAATCACCCTGTATACCGCGTTCTATTATATTGCAATATTATTTATTATAATATGCAAATGGCGATATGTTATTATACGCTTAACGTACGCGTTGCGTTTAATAACGTATGCACGATCGGTGTTTTTTTAAAAACATTTTTTATTTTTATTTTTCCGTAAGCAAATACATTCCGGGAACTCCTTATCTTGTGGTTTTTTGTTGTTATTATCATCATCTGAAAAACCGTTTGAGTCACTAACCTGCAAATCGTATTGCACGCGGAGGTCAAATCGCTTTAATAATATAATTTACCACGAAATACTTAATCCGGGTTACAGTCCGTTAATGATAATAAATTATTACGTGATTTTCTTTTATTTCGTTCTGTATTCCGAGAGGTAATACACATTTTTTTTTTTCGCTCGCCGAATACTTACCGAAGTAAACGCATTTTCAGTATTTTTTCTGGGAGGGGTCCTACAAAAATGATATGTATTCCACACTTGTCTATTAATAGATGCCTCTTTTTTAGATATAATTTTATTGAAATAAAGTCCAGGGTCCAGGGAGTCTGGACTCCTGCCACTACCGTAAATCCACTACTGTACCGAAGTAGCCGTATTTTCAAATTACGACAGAACTTTTATCTATTTTAAATTCCCTACCGCAGAGAAGATCCTTTTTCTGGTAAAACACTTTTTCGTTTAGCAAAAATGCTCCGAATCGTTTACATCGTACCTTAAGAGGACCTGATACCCGCCTGTACGGTCTCCATCTCACAAATATATGACGTAGCAAAGTTGCGATCTGCAGAGACGATTTTGTATTGTCAATTTTATCATTACATTGAATTGTCCTGTTATTCAACTTAAAGCTAAGCACATTATCTGTGAAATTATGTCATTTTTTTTTCGATATTTCGATTTTTAGGCGAGATCTGCACATTTTTAAATCGTGATACTTTACACACTCATATCTTATTTCAATTAAATTAAATTAAATTTCTTTAAAATTTAAATATCGAAAAATAATTAACGTAGTAGCACAAATAATATTTTTATTTTTAGTTTTAAAAACTGTCCCGGCACTTACGATATTTTTTCTGTCATAAGTACAAGCGGAATGACTTTTTTTTCTGTGGACAATTTTTCTACCAGCAATTTTGCTTCAATTTTTAATAATAGAAATGTTTCTGAATGGGAATTTCACTGGGAAGGTACTTTGAAGAGATTCTTTTTCCATTTCCCTTGATGTTTTCTCAGCAAATAGGAAAAACTGGGAAAACCGGGAAAATCAGTACAACATTAAACAAATATTATTAAAGAAAATACATAGAGCCTATTTAATAGTTTAACTATAATATGGCACATATATATTATCGACAAAGCATAACGTCAACTGAACTCCACTCAGAATTGTTTTTTTGTAAGCAATGATTTATATCGTTGCTTACAGGTATACATTAAATTAACAATAACAGTGGCTACACCCGTCCTCATTATTTTAGGACGTCTTTTTCTATATGTTTCTAAAAATCAAAAAAATGACGATACATCGGTTTTAATTTTGTTGATTTCTGGATTACCTTGACTTCAACGAACAAAATAATACGTGACTAATATACAATAAATTTACCAGTTTACCGAGCTCCGGTTAAAATCGTTTTTCGAGTGAAATGATTTATCGTTGCTCTTAATATAATATATATTATTATTACTAACCTGTACGCTATACTTTCTCGACAACCTATCCACTTATAACAGGAGATTCAACCTATGGGTTGCTCCCCCATGGTACAAAGAATGTCTGATTTTGTTTTTTATGTTATTACGCATAGGTATGATCTTTTACAGAATTTGTTTAGTTCTAAAACTGTAAATAAGTACTCTTAATTGTTTCAGCTTGATAACATACCAATTAACATAGTTTTAAAAAATACATTTTCAATTGAACAATAAAATATTGTATAAAACATCTCATTTATAAAAAAATATACATATATATTTATAACTTATAAGTAAAAAAATAAATTCTCGATGACAACATATGATTTTGTTATTGTCGTCCTGATCGATAAGGTACCTTTCATAATGAGTAATGAAATTATTTTTTTTGTTTGTTGTTGTCATCGCATCGTCTAATTTGGTACTAATTATCATTCTATTCACTCAGTATATTAGGAATTAGTTGATGTTTTCGTATTAGCAATGATAACTTATAGTTACCGAAAGACATATTTACTTTTATTCTATTCAACACATTTTTTTTTGATTTTCAAAGATATTTTTCTTTAAATTCTAAAATCATATTATCTACAATGAGTTATTTTTAGATTCTGAGTAGAGCGAAATATCGCTTACCGCGCAAGATTCCTTTTTAAATTATCGTAAAATACTTATTCACTTGGTAAAAATCTTCCGAAATGTTCACGCAATAACATTTGTGGATCTTACGCCTTATGTTTCTTTATTTAAAACATTTGTCTATAGATTCCAACAGTTTCCCTAGAAAACCTGGCAATACACACAGATCTAGCATATTGAACGGACGAGGCCCGAAAAAAAGTCAAGGATTTTAAATTAATTTAAATTTTCATGCGAACGCTCAAACTTCAATCATGAGCTTTTTATATAATTTTTTTATTGATTACTTGGTTCCCATGGTTACTTAGAAGAAAAACACGATTTTAATATTTTTTTTTACTGTCTCACCAGTTTTAATCGAGCTCCATTCAGAATTGTTTGTCATTTTTAATAATTTATTATTTTTTTTAGGATATAAAAATTAAATTATCGTACCCTTTATCCTGAATTCCTACATGACTAATTCCTACCCATAGCGTGAAGTATTACCGGCTTCTTTTTATGGTTACCATATTAATTAATTATTTCTACCGGTACACACTTGTCTTCAATTATTAGTATTATTTTTTTAAATAATAAATTTGAATACCAATTTTCAAACGCACAGGTATAAATTTAAATCGACTATTAATAAATAAATGTTCAAAAATATTATGTTAATCGCGTGCGATCACAATCACGCATTGCGAAATAATTTTTCAATTTCCATACTTGTATAGGTAATTGTTTCGATTTAATCAACGAATAAGAAAATATTATTACGGACGTATCATAATATAATATGTCAATATGTCTATGCGTCATAATTTAATTCGTGTAATTCTACGTAATAGTTTTGAAGGACACCTCAGATATGGCATCGTTCGTGTCAAGAACGAAATACGTAAATAGGTATCTAATTGAACCATCTAGTGCCGTAAACGTAATAATATTATAGGTGTCGGTGATTCATATCGCACATCGAAATATTCGTAAAATGTCTTTTTTCGTCGAATTTCCCCCGAAAATAGGGACTGTTGCACCACTGTATTGTGTCTGTTCCACCTATATACCCATAATGTACACTCGTAAATTGTTTCCGCTACTTTTGGACACTTTTAGTGGCTGGCTTTCTCTGGAACAAATGAACTCGGCAGTTGGAGGTATTTTTACGTGCGGATTAAAGTGATAAAAACGATAGTTGAATATCAATATAAATTTCATTATTTTATTACTGGAGAAATGGTTTTTTTTTTTTTTTTTTATCTTTGGACACAGATCCCCTTCAAATAAAGCCAGAGAGATGGAATCGTGTGTACACACGGTGTAAGTATCGAGAATATGCCTTTCGGAGGGTTTACATGTCTACCACAAGTCTAAGGGGAAATTTCGTTTTTAGTGGCAGAACTCTACTGTTCATGGGTGTTTTTTTTTACGAACATAATATTTTCGCTACTCGAGTTTTTATAATTTTTACTCTACTTAATTTTCAAAATCATACGGCGTAAAACTTCTGATTTGTAATGATATCATTTTTCCAAATTACCTACCTATTTTATAATTATATTATTCGATTGGTTTGTAACTGATTTTACTGAATACTCAGTGGCGTATCGGAGGGTATACGCGGGTATGCGACGTAAGCCCAGGATCTCTATTTTTGGATTTACCATTCATATGTATACCTATAAGAAAATGTGCTGATTATAACTAAGAATATGTACATTAAAGGTAAACACGACTTTTTAATTTATCGTCACCATAAAACCGTAAAAATAATAATAATAATATATATATATATAATAATAATAATAATAAACAATAATTGTTTATTATTTTATTGTATAATCTGTTCCAAAAGAGAACAGACCGGTAGTCAAGTTTAAAATGCAGATATTAATACTGTCGAATTAACTAAACGTTTACACCGTTTTTTTTTATCTACACCGTGGTTTGGTTAAATGTCAATAAATTCGTAATTTTGGTTTGAAACGCGCGAACAATACTAAGTAAATTAATTTTAAAACTACTAAAAAGTTAAATTATGGTTATACAATTGTATAAATATCCCAGTAAAAAGTTATTTATGATAACACATCTATTGTAGCGTATCGTAACCGTATTATAAGTTGAATGTTAATTTGA